TGTACACTGGGTACTGAGGACCTTGTGTACACTGCCCCTGGCTGGGTGTCTCAGGGAGCAGGACTGTGTCTGTGTCCCTGGCACAGGATCTGTGGGTGGTCCCTGGTGCTGGCATCCCTTGCACGAGCTCCAGGGGTTTCCATGCAGCAGGTGGTGGCTCCTCCCCTGCAAGACAGCTGATTCCTGCCAAGACCCCTTCCCTGGCTCAGCAGGGCGCAGTGTCTGAGTGCTGGCCAGGGAGTAGGAGCACCACAGCAGCCACTTCCAGGGGCACCTTGTCCGCAGGGGGACCCCCCTGGTTGGTGAGATCATCCCCACCCCCCCCGGTTGGCGAGATTGGCCACGAGGGGGGCATGTGCCCCGACTAAGGCGTCACCAGTCATCCATGAGCCCAAGGCTCCCTCCAGCATCCTGAGCCTGCTCCTCCCCAGTGCTATCACAGGGAAACAACAGGGCAATATCTAGCATTCCCCCCCTGGCCCTGTGTCCCCCTCCCCTGCTGTGCTCACCCTGTCACACAGGGTCTTGCAGGAGGGTCTTCCCAGACTCAGAGTCTCCTCACAGGCAGCTTCGCTTCAAGGGGAAGGGAGGGAGAACAGACACAGTGTAGTACTCTCAGTGGTGCAGCCTCTCACTGCTACTTCTGCTGGGCTCTGCCAGGGGCTTCCGGGGGAGATGGCCATGGTGACATCCTTTCCTTGGTTTCCAGCCTCTCTCTCACCCCCTCTCTCTTCTTTGTTCTCCTCCCTGGGAAAACTACTTACCTCTTTCAATCAAGCCTCTCAGCCAATCCCAGGCCCGGGCTCTACCCGGGCTTTTGCTAATGTGTCTCGTTCCAACCTTGCTGGGGTTATATCACACCTCCCACTTCCAAGCGGGCTACCACCAAAACAGCTTCACTCACTCTCAGACAAACAGTGTTCCTACTGGTACAAACTCTGTCTTTTTGCACTCTGTCCCTCTGCAGGGCAGCCCTTCCTATTCCTTTAGGTGGGTCCATTCTTAATTCGGCTATGTACTGGAAATTATCAATACAAGCACATTGCTCTGATCTACTATTAAATGACAAATTAGCTTTGAAATTAGGAAAATATTACTAATGGCAAGAACAATCAAATAACACACTGTTTTGCTGGTGGTGTGATTTGGAAAACTGGGCAGAGATATAAGCAGAGAGTAGATAATTTAAGAGAAGTGCACAATTTAAGGGAAATGCAGAAGACTTTGGGTTTTTTTGTTTTTTGTCTAGGGGATTACACATGATAACTTAAACAGTGTCCCTTAGTACTCTGGGACCTGTTGTTATTGCCTGCCAGTTATTTTTTAAATATTGCATGATGTACACCTTTTAAGAGACTTTGGGTACATCTACATGTGCAATTAATGCACAGAAAGCGTACTTTGCAGTAAAATACTACGCAGTAGGTTTTCCCTGAGAGCACATCTACACGTGTGCCCATCAGGAGCAAATTTGCTCTTGATGGCTACATCCAGACGAGCGCAGCCATGCAGTATATGGTGGCGCAGACATGTTTGCAGTATTACATACTTCATGTTCAGTTGTTCTCTGTGCTGCAAGGGAATAGTGCAGAGGTTTTGGAGGGTTTTTTTGTTTACCTCTGGGTATCCCATGGAGGAAATAATCTGTGGAGAAAAAATGCAGAGCAGTGCATGCATGGGCAGCACGTGCCACTCAAGACCACAGCTGGGCCATCCAGAGCTGCGCTGTGGCTGCCAGCCAGGCCCGCACAGCAGAATTGCCATTGCTGCAGCCCAGGGAGGTCCTTAGAACCTCAGATAAGGCTGCTGGAGCCAAACCAGTGCTGGCCCCAGCCTGCCCTAGTGCCCCTGGGGTAACTTGCCGAATGCCAGAGGGTGCTTGACACAGGTGTTCTCTGGGGACAAGTAGCAGCGGCACAAGGTGCATCACTGCTAGTTGTCCCTGTGGAGCCAAACATCCACACTACATGAGTATACAGCTTATGGGAGCAGTTCAGGGCAGGGATACTCCTTCCATGCTCTGTTACCATATGGTAGCCAGGGGAAGTGCTAGGCTCCCCCAGGTTCCAGCCCCAGGTTGGCAGGGGGCACCAGGGTCAGGCGTGTGCTCCACAGGGTGGGGGGAGCTGTCCTGCCTCCATGGCAGCTGCCTCCCACGCTGCACCCCTGCCCAAGGCAGCTACCTGCTGCCAACTCCCCACTCAGATCTCTCAGACTCCAAGATTGGAGCTCTGGCCAAGACTGGCTCTGACAGGGCTGGCTCTGATCTCAGAGCTGGAGCCCAGGGTCTGCTTGCTGTGGTGGCAAGGGACATTGTCCCTACCTCACATCTGAGGCAGAGTCAGCCCCAGCAACAGGCAGCTGCTGGGGACAGAAGACAATGTCCCAACTCTGGCCTTGATTTGGGAGCCAGGGCCAGGGCCAGCAGTTGCCTGCTGTGGGCAGGAAACATTGTCCCAGCCCCTTCTCCAGTGGGCCGGTTGGAGCAGGGGCTGGGAAGCAGGCAGCTGCCCAAGGGAGGAGACAGGTCTCCCGGCTGCTGCTGCCTGAGCTGACCAGGAGCAACTATGTAACTATGCACTACTCTACATTAGCCAGTACACAGTATTTACAGGTAGCAGAAAACTGAACATTAGTCTATTTTAATCTGCAGTAGCTGCAGCGTGTGAAAAAATAGTGATGCTTTACTTCCCAGATTAGTCTTCTGTGCAGTAAAGTGTCTCATGTATACACATCCTTTGTTTTGTAATTCCACAAAGAAAACAAAATGACATTAATTATCTGTACTCACAGATGGATTTAGTACTACATAGGCAGAATAAGATGCCTAAAGGAAAGTCTGATCATGAAATCCCCCCACCTAATGTACTGCTGCCTAAGATATTACAAATAAAATTCCCTGGGTACAAATAAAATTCTTATGTGATTTAAATCCTCAAACAAGGTGTCCCCTTAATCCCCTGAGTCATTCAATCTAGTAGGTATGTGGTAGGTATGAAGAGTATCCCTCTCCCCCTAAAGCAATATAAATGGCTTGGGCACTTCTGTGGGAGATGTGGTTTTAAGCCCTCTGCTGTCCTGTGATGGGCATATACCCCAAATATCCCACATTTTGAGTGAGCACTTTAAACAACTGATCTATTGTTCATAACAGCATCCTCACCATTCCCTCCTTTTTCTAAGGAAAGGTGATTCTTACTTTATTAAAGGAAAACTGAAGCCAGAAGAGGGTTTATAGCTGAGAATTGTCACCCGTGCTGAAAACCTGAAAAAGGGTTAGATTTCAGTATTTTCTATTGGATAACAGGTGGCTCCCAATTCTACATACAAGCTGCCATGAATGCCACTGAGACTCCTAACTGTCCCCATTCACTGTACAGGGAGCCCAGGTGCTGAAGTACAGGCCATGTATTCTGCTCTAGGAGCTAGAAACCAGATTTAAAAAGGTATTCAATTGTTTTAGGTGCCTGAATACTTTTTTGAATCTGACTCCAGATTCAGAGATAAATATTTCAATGATGAACTTGATAATACCTATCTCTGTGCCTCTGAGATACACATTCTTATCATATTATTTAAGAATTTAAATAAAATGTAGAATTTAAATGAAATTTTAAAATGGCATATTTCCAGATGCCTTCAAACTTGCTTTCCAGAATGTCAGCTCATTCCTTTTTTTCCTGTTTCCCTGTAAATGTTATGTTCAGCATATGCATTTTTTCCCTGGCAGAACCCTTTGAGAAGAATATAGGTAGCATCTTCAGAAGATGCAGCATATAGCCACCCACCAATTGCAGCCAATTAACTAAAGTGACATTTCACTTTCCTTTAATGAGTTTTAACATACGTTTTTGCCAGTTCTAAATATGTGCTTTTATAATACCAAGTATTTCATAGCATATGTGGCTGTGCCTCCAGTGGCAAGTGCACACAAAATATCAGTCCTTAAGAAACAGCTGCAAAGTTTTGATAGAAAAGAGCAGTAGAGAAGCAGATAATATATATTCATTCTCTTGAAATGGGTCATTTAAACAGATGCCAGCATGTGGTTCCTACCTTTGTGTCTGTTATAATATTTATATATACTTATGTGCATGTACTAACAAATGTAGATTTTGTTCACTCTAAATATTGTCAAAATTGAATGCAATGTTTTTTATTTGCATACATTTCTTTTGTGTGAATTTTTGTGGTGTTTTAAAAAGAAACCTATTTAACTTTGTTTCTATTTATATGTTTGTGTTTCTGATAACAGCAGAAACTTTCCCTGATCTCTGTGGGGAAAGTTTGAATGTAAAACAAGTATTTTTCTTTGATTATCGGTGTTAGTTTTCCATGCAACATTCTTGGAGGTGTTTTCACCATTGTGACATTGAGAGGCCTAAGCTTTTTATTAAGCTGTTGCTTTTGTAGGACTGCTACATACCCTTAAAGGGGACTTAGGAGGAACAGTGATTTATTTTTTAAATTCTTTAAATTAATTATATTATTATGACCCCCTTGTCATTTTGTAAAAACATATAATATTTAAGAGCTTTCAGTACAAGGTTTGAGTACCTTAAAAGTTAAAATGTAAGATTAAGATGCATGTTTTTGGAAGTTCTTTGTCCAACAAAAATTAAAAGAAGGATTTGAAAAATGTTTACATTTTCATCATTTACAGTAGCGAAAAGAATTAATTAGCATATTATTGAGCCAGATTTTTCTTTTGTTTGATTTTCATGAATCATAAACATTCTAATTGGAAATCAAAATATTATTATGGCAGATATTTGCTAATAAAGATCTTAACTTTCTTCTGATATATAGTTATTAAGTTACTGTTATTTCAGGGAAATAAGTAAATTGGGTTATAAGGGGAAAATACAATAAAATCCATTTTGTAGGGTTTTAGTATTAATTTTTATCCCTTTTTATTACATATAATTTTGGGTTGGGTTCAAGTATGTCTTTACTATGTGTCTCAATAAACTTGTCTTTTGTTTGTTTGATTTTTGCAGTGAAAAAAGCAATTGAATTGAAGTCAAGAGGAGTCAAAATGCTGCCCAGCAAAGACAGTAATCACAAAAATTCTGTCTGTAAGTTGGCTTTGTTGCTATCCTTGTAGTGTGTGTGTGTCTGTGTGTGTGTTCCATTTCCATTAAAAGTATGAATTAGGAGATGGAGATATGGCATGGGAGGAGGTCTGCTTGTGAGATCAAGCATCAGATCCCATCATGCCTTATTGCCAGTGCAGGAGGAGCCTGGGATGCCAGGCTCCTTGTGTAGCAGCAAGTAGCAAGCTTCTGCAGCTGGGAGCCCATCAGCTGAGGAGACTCCCAGCTGCCGGGGCACCCATGTGCTCCTGTGGCTGCAAGCTTTATTAGGTGTGCCCATGTGAGGGGGCTCCCAGCCAAGCGATCACAACAGGTTTCACGTTCAGTTAATGGTGTGATAAGAACCAACCACAAAATTCTTAGACATTTCTTGTGGAATAACTTTGTGGCTTAAACCTTGTTTTATGACAACATTAATTGCTTTAACTGTAGTTCGGTTACAGCTTAAGATGTGATTAACTTGTTAATCACACCCTGAATATAATGTATGGCAGAGACCTTGTTCTATTCTGACTTTGGACTAACGTGGCTAACTACTTCTCTCTACATACGAGAACGGTTATGGCTGTTTCATTTTTTTCTATTGTGATGTTTTCCAGTTTTCTTGAACAGAAGATAATTAGGAGGTACATAAATACACAATTTATCACCTCTGTGGCTAGGTAGTTGTGTTTCTTTAGTACTGAACATTTGCTTAAATCTTCATTCAAGTTGAGGGGTTTTTTTGTTTTTAATTTTGTTTGTTTTTCAAATCAATGACTTTCATAATAGTGTTGAGTCCTTTGGGGAGGGGAGAAACAATCTGTGTTCTCTTAGGTAATTTTACTCACATGTTTTAAGTACTTACCTATACTTTGTTTGTATAAATCGACACAATGTTAAATGGTCCATGAAAACAAAGGCATGTCCTCTTCAATACTGAATCAAACATGACATTTCCTTGTCTGTACTATAGGCTTACCAAATGGGTGAGTTAACATAATACAATTTTGAATATGGGTGATGAATGAAAGTCCCTTGAAATCCATCAAAAGATTATCAGGTTTTCATTTCAGTTCACTCCAAAATGTTTCACTAAAAATATTTTAAAAATGAAATACTTAAAAGTGTATACTATTTTTTTTTAATTTGCTACTTTTACTGAAGTACCTTACATTTCTCCTGCAGCATTTAGTATGAGTGAACAATCCTTAGGCTCACAGCTAGGGAAAAAAAAGCTATTTTAAGGCAATGATTTTTGCTATGTCGACTTAAAAAACAAATGACTTTACAGATTCAGGATTGATTTGTTGTTACACATTTAGATGAATTGATAGCACATGCTGAGTTACTCAGCTGTTGAAGCCACAGTGGCTAATTCTAAAACAAAATGCTGCTGATTCAGTAGTAATGATTTTTTTTTTCTCTCCCCCACCCTTTTTTTATTATTTACTATGCAGTGGGGTAAAAATTTATTCACTGATCTTTAAATAACACTTCTGCTTCTCTCATGCTTCATTTTTACCACCATTAAAATACTATTTTGTCAAAGATATATGGCTACTATAAATTGGGCACTTCCATTAGTAAAAAGATACTTTGTTAATAGTGGCTAATATTTCACTGAATATTTGCACTGTGTGTGTCACTTTTAATCTGTTTTATTTTTGTCCCAGCTATAGAACAGATTAGGAAAGGCTTTTTATCTATATAAATAATAGATAAGTATTTAGAAATGAATTGCCAGCTGGTGGACTGAATGATAGTACAAAACTGGTATAACAACAATTGTATCTCACTCACTTCACTTTGCTATTGTAAGAGATGCTATTTTGATGATACTTTTTGATAAAAGTTAAGGACTGTTAAAATACTATTAACAAATAACTATTGACTTCCTTTTTTCTCATTACTACTTTAATATAACTCTTTAAAAATCTCATCTTTATGATATGGCTTTGTTTTATTTATTTATTTTGGTGGGGGGAAACGAATAAATGGATCCTAACAGTTGTCTGATTTTACTTTTTTTTTTAAATAGCCATTTTTACCTGTGATGATATAATCAGATGGACCACTTCAGCACATAACATTACTTTACACTTTTTTCTCTTCACAATGAGCAAGTGAAATCCCACCTCTTTTGAAGAAAAAATTGACATTTTTGCACCCTGCACCCATTCATGAGTTAAATTGCTGTTCAGAAATTCTGCCAAGGCATTACTTTAGTATTTTTCATAAACAGTTTATAGGAAGCTAAGACTTAAGAAATGTCCACTGTAGTTGACAATCCTTAAGAAAACCATCCAGTTCAGTGGAATCCTACAAAATTCATGTTTCATGCAATTTATCTGAAATCAACAACAGCTTCTCAAAGAACTGAATTGATATTGTTTTCTTTGTAGACTTGCTTTTCAGTGGTACACTATCACAGTAATAAGGATTCTACTTTGAGTTTATAAGGTAGAAAAATAGTTTTGTAAGGGTAAATAATGATTTGCAGTCTAAATACAATGGAGTCTACTACATATAAGCATATAATGGTTTCTGTGACAGTGTGTCTCTGTCTATATAGTATATTACATATAGATGCTTTGTTGTCAATGTGCTTTTAGTTCATACTGACATACTGTGGTAGAAAAGACACCATCCTCCTAATTCTTCTGCTAGGATAGTCCTATTCAGTTAGGTTGAAGTTGTTACACAGGTGCTCAGGTTAGCTCATATAGAACAGCTTGTGAAATTGAAGTGTACGGTACTTTTTGCAGTCTGTCAAGTTATATATTCTACACTGCAATGTAGCTCTGATATCTCAAATATTGAGGGAAGACAAGTTTCAGCATGAACTCTGTGGGGGTTAACTTTAACCTAAATAGCAATAAGGGCCTTGTTATACCTTACACCATGAGCTGCACAAATTATGATCAGTGTTAGTGCTAACTCAAGTTTGGAGAAGTCACAGTCAGGCCAGCAGGGGCCTGGAGTAATGCAAGGTAAGAATACCCCCATCTCCCATTCTGGGCTTTTTCCTTTGCCCCCCTGAGGCTTCCCCTGACCCTCCCACCCCCAGGACTCCTCCCTCCCCCACTGCATACTTGTAGCTGTCTAGCTGTCTGTCCTAGGGGAGCAGGTAGGGAAGGGTTAGCTGTTGCTGCCAGGAGGTTGCTCCTCTTTTGGGAACTGAGCCCACCCAGAAAGCAGCAGTAGCCAGGAACATAATTAACTCTTCCCTGTCTGCTCCTCTGACAGACAGACAGAAGCTACAAGTAAGTGGACAGGAAGCTACAAGTAAGTGGAGGACAGTGGTAGGGATCTGGGATAGTGAGGCAGGTGGGAGGAGGAAGGCATTGGGCCTAATCTAGGCCAGCAAGGAAATGGAGGGGGAGGGTGGGATGTTTACACTAAAGCGCAGCCTAGAGTGGTGCAACATGAGCTGGATAACATGTATCAGAGAGAATCCTGCCCTGGAGTGGTATAAGTGAGCTGTATAATGAGTGCTTAAAACAAGTTTCAGGTGTTAATGTGAAGACAATCTAGGTGTTAAGAGCTCTAGGATACACCCAAAATTACAGTATGAGGACCTTATTACATGGTAATTTTGGGTGGCTCCTGTAGCTCTTAGCCCCTGAATTATCTGCACATTAACACCTTAAAGTCATTTTAAACACTTGTTATGCAGCTCAAAGTTATGCTACTCCAGGGCAGAATTATCTCTGATCTGCACTACCCAGCTCCTGTTCCATTAAGGTATGCCCACTCACCACAGATGTGCTGGCCAAGCTGAAGTCCTCCAGTATCCCAGGATCTCTCACACCCCAACCCATAGTGCTAGGATAGAACCCTGTCCTGGTTCATCAGCCCTCTAGTGGTAACTCATAGACACAGCTCCTAGTCTTGCATCTGCTCACATAGGCCTCTCTGTGGCAAATGACAGCTGTGCAGGCAGGGGACAGGTAGAGAAGGTTTCTAGACTAAGGGTGTAACTGCTTGAAGCACCAGGGCTAGGGACAGACATTCAAAAAGGCTGAGACTAAATTGATTCAATCTTTTCAGGTTAGTCTAACCTGCCTAGGTTGTATCAGTTTGCAACTGCACACGCATTCCCTCTGGACTGAGGAAATGCAGCTACATGTCTGCAGTGGCTCAGGCTAGAAGCTGGGAGGCACTAGAGCAGCCCTCCCTTCCATTCCACACTGCTGAGCTGGGGCGGGTGCATGGCCAGGTCCTGACAGAAGGCTCTGATTAGGGAGGGGTTTAATCCCCACCCTGCCTGCACCACTCCAGGCTTTTCCCCACTCACTGCTCAATGGGTGGGACTGTTGCCAGCCCCCAGCCCCTGGCTAGGATTTTGAGGTAAAGTGGAGGTGTGCAGTGCATGCATTTGTTGCTGACACTGAGCTTTTCAATCTCCCCCTCCCTGCTTCCTCATACTATCTGCAAATGTGACAGGCAAGGAAGCCCAGTGAAATTAGAGACACACGCACACAGACACCTCTCAGCATTTGCTAGAATACCACATGCCAAGGGTCCGTGGGGCTAGATTCCATGTTGTGGGAGATGGGAGGAAGTGGGGATCCCTGCTTGAGCAGCGATGGCGGGGTAGGGGGTCAGGGGGAAGCCAGGCAAACCTTGCTGTCCCTATAGTCTCCACTGGAGCTCCAGCTAGGGAGCAGAGGGGCTGGGCCAGCCCTGTTCTCTGGAGCAGAGACCCCAGCCCAGCCAAGCCCAGACCAGGACTGCAATGCATCTGAGATTCTGGGGGACTCTGGTTTAACAAACCAGGAAGGGTTCTGGGACAAACATTGCGTAAGCTGGCTTGACCCAAATCAGTTAAGTCAGATACTACATTCAACCAGGTTTATCTTAAACCAGTTTTAGCCATTTTGAAACTGGTTTATGTGCACTGAAATTATGTTCTGTTACAGGTTTAAACCAATTTCTGATCACTTAAATTGGTTTATGTGTAAAGTTTGTCCCTAACCCAAACTAGCACTAACACTGAT